TTAGCAGGAGTATTAGAATAAGCAGGAATTTTGCAGATTAGGAGCAATATAGATCCAAAAATTTTCATCATTTAACAAGGGATCAGGAGGAGTATCTATTTCAGGGATAGGGATTCCCCAGGCAGAAGTCTCTCTGGTACCTAATAGTAATCCCATTCAATCTAGTATCAAAAACATGTTTACTTTTTAAACGTAGAAAGTCTTCCAGCTGTCGATGGGTGGGCTTTCCACTCCTTTTTGTCACTATAGGCCGGGCAGGGCTTGATGCGGGAGACTCTTGCAAGTTTCATGGCTACGTATGAGTGCTGAGTAGTACAGTAGTGCAGGGAAGGGTCTAGTCCACTTGGGCTGTAAAGGGATGTCCTTCCATGTCCATAGAAGCACCTGATCACCAGGCTGGAAAGGGTGCTATCTCAGGAGGAAAATTCCGTCGGACCCATACTGCCTGATGCAACTGGGAAAGAATTTTGGTTAGAGAAAGCAAATATTTAGACATCACTACATTAGGGGGCTGGGTGGATAGGATGACTGCGGGGTGAGTTGGTTGAGACCATATGGTCTCCCATAAAGTATTTCAAAAGGGCTGATTTTAAGTTTTCCCTGAGGTGCAGTATGGACTCGGAGGAGGGTCAGTGGCAGAACATTTGTCCAGGGCAGCCTGGTCTCTTGTAACAGTTTACTAAGATGACATCTCATGGACTGATTCATTCGTTCAACCTTTTCACTAGATTGGGTCTCTATGCTGTATGAAGTTTCCAGTTTATTCTTAAAGCAGTTGAAATATGTTGTACTACTGCAGATACAAAATGAGTGTCATTGTTACTACTGAGACCTCTCGAAAGCCCGAAGTGGGGGATGATTTCTTTGACAAGGGCCTTGGCTACCTCTTTAGCCGTCTTGGTCCAGAAGGGAAAAGCTTCTACTCATCCTGAAAAAAACTCTGTACACACCATTAAATATTTCATTCGATGTTTGGTTTTGAACACTTCACAAAAGTCAATTTGCCATATTTCACCTGGAAAGTGTCTTATTCCTTGAGGTCCAGAAATCTTGGGCCCATGAGTCTTTGGATTATTGACAGCACAAAGTAAGCAAGTGTCAACTACATGGTGAATAGCTGTAAT